TATAATTGATAACATCACAGACACAGTCAAACACACAAACACAGATCCTGCATCTCTATGCTTGTAAAGTACAATCAAACTTAGTCACAATATGCAAACTTTAAAAAAAAATATATATATTATATGACTGGAGACATGCAAAATGTAATAGCAGATGTGTAAAAAAAACCTATTCTAAAATTTGAGTGAAACATATGGTAAGAGCATCCGTTTCATTTGGAATGGTCTGTTTTTGAAAGCATATTAAGGAACCATTCTAATCTCCACTGTGCGCCATATTTACAGTTATCCAATCACCTCAGCCCAAATCTGACTGATTAGTTATTACCTTTATCCAAGTGCATTGCTGGATAATTCTCACTGCATAACCATCACCATGAAAAAGCATTATCCTTCCCTACCCCAGTCACGGTTATTTGAGTCTTAATGTGAACAATGGGTCTGGTCACCTCTCTTGGCAAGGGCATCAAAGTCTGGTGTCATCTTTGATGTAGAGATTCTCAGAACAGCTGACAAGTGGTCATTTGTTAAATTTGACCTGTGACAGGATTTGTTGTAATTCATGACTGAGAACGTTTGTTCACACACATATGTGGACCCGACTAAAACAAGCATCCTTTGGGCGTGCTTTTTAATGTTTGGAAACTTTGTTTCATTCAGGGAGCCATAGAACTGGTCAGTTGTTGCTGTTTTGTACTTCTCCTTCAAAGCACTGTCACATTGGATGTCGATGAGCTCCAATTGTGTGTCTGGTGGTGCTTTCTCACTGTCGAAAGACAAGGAGCATGATACAAGCTCCAGCTCAGTCTCAATCTTGGTGAAGTCTGAGAAGCGGCGGGAAAACTCAGCATGCCGGTCAATCAAAGTGCTACTGTATGTGGGTGGGTTCAGTGCGGCCAGTGTCGGAAAATGAGCGAGACCGGCTGCTCATTTGTCTGGAGAACAACATAAGTTTGGCCTTGAACACTTTCACGTTGGAATACAGTTCATGCACAAAAACACAACAATTTCACATTTAGATCATTCAGATGCCCCAATGTGTCCACACCGAAAGCAAAGTCGCCGAGCCAGTCTATGTCTTTCAACTCTGAGAAGTCGTCAGCTTTACCAACCGTATCAAGGAACATACCTATCTCCCCTCTCAGTTCCCACACACAGCGAAATACTTTCCCAGGCTTAGCCAGCGCACATTTGAATGGTACAACAAGTCCTGGTGCTCTACCTCTGTGTCATTGAGCAGCTGAATGAACTGATGATGGTTAAGCCCCCTTGCCCGTATAAAGTTGACATGTTTTACAACCACTTTGACAACATTTCCCAGCTTTAACACACTTTTACACAGGGCTTCCTGATGAATAATACAGTGAAGAAATAGGGCTTTCTTCTTTTACTTTGGGCTTTCTTCTTTTACTTTGTTAGGGCTTTCTTCTTTTACTTTGTCTTGTAATCTTTTTAGTCGGCCAATGTTTTTACCGGTTAGATTTGGTGATCCATCTGTTGTGACGTTTGTCAGTTTGCTCCACGGTAGATTTATTTTTTCCAAGCAGGCAGACAGCCTGTCATATAAATCAGAGCCCCTGGTTGTTCCCATCATTCAGATTCCACTTTTCTCATTTTCACAGCACTCATTTTTCACGTCAAAAATCTTCAAGCAATGAAGTGGCTATGATGACTGAGCGCATTCTGAATCTGACTGTAGGCCCAAATACAGAGCGCATTGCCAGGCTACAGCGCAATCTATTGGAGGTTGTATGTATACCATGGAATGAGACATTTTAGGCAATAAATCGTAACTCAAATATGGAAATATTTAATACATTTAAAAAATGTCTCGCGGGCCAGATTGAAGTGCCTGGCGGGCTGGATAGGGCCTGTGGGCTGGATAGGGCCTGTGGGCTGGATAGGGCCTGTGGGCTGGATAGGGCCTGTGGGCTGGATAGGGCCTGTGGGCTGTACTTTGCCCCTCCTTGGTCTAGGAGCAGCAACGGCTCAGCCACGAAGTGGTAGGCCACACCAGCTCACAGAAGGGGACCGCAGAGTGCTGAAGTGCATAGCGCGTAAAATCGTCTGTCCTCGGTTGCAACACTCACTACCGAGTTCCAAACTGCCCCTGGAAGCAATGTCAGCACAAGAACTGTTCATCGGGAGCAACCGCACACAAGCCTAAGATCATCATGCGCAATACCAAGTGTCAGCTAGAGTGGTATAAACCTCACCGCCATTGGACTCTGGAGCAGTGGAAATGCCTCTCTTGAGTGATGAATCATGCTCCACCATCTGGCAGTTCTGACGGACAAATCTGGGTTTGGCGGATGCCAGGAGAACGCTACCTGCATGAATGCAGAGTGCCAACTGTAATGTTTGGTGGAGGAGGAATAATGGTCTGGGGCTGTTTTTCATGGTTTGGTTTAGGCCCCTTATTTACAGTGAAGGGAAATCTTAATGCTACAGTATACAATGGCATTGTCGATGATTCTGTGCTTCCAACTTTGTGGCAACAGTTTGGGGAAGGCCCTTTCCTGTTTCAGCATGACAATGCCCCTGTGTACAAAGCGAGGTCCATACAGAAATGGTTTGTCGAGATCGGTGTGGAAGAACTTGACTGGCTTGCACAGAGCCCTGACCTCAACTCCATCGAACACCTTTGAGATGAATTAGAACGCTGACTGCGAGCCAGGCCTAATCGCTCAACATCAGTGCCCAACCTCACTAATGCTCTTGTGGCTGAATGGAAGCAAGTCCCCGCAGCAATGTTCCAACATCTAGTGGAAAGCCTTCCCAGAAGAGTGGATCGTGTAATAGCAGCAAAGCAACGACCACCTCCATATTAATGCCCATGATTTTGGAATGAGAGCCGATGTCCCCATACCTTTGGTCATGTAGTGTGTATATATATGGTTTATCTCTATTAGTAGGACCTTGTCATGAGGCACCTATACAGCCTCAGAGGGGTGTGTAGTGTACCTATTGAGACGCTGGTGTTGGTTTCACTGACAAGACCCAAGTACAGCAGCCCAGAGGGTTCAAACTTCCAACCTCAAACCACACCCCCTCCTGTGTTAAGGTAGAAGGTGGACATCCTACCCATAATGCCCTCTGGGAGAAGTTATAAAAGTCAGCAATACTGGGTTTCCTAAAGGTTGGTAGGATGTTGAATCAAGGTGGTCACTGGTCATGGAGGCTCGTTTGTGTGCTGTCGTCCTGATGCCTGACTGTACAGTCGTGGTCAAAAGTTTTGAGAATTACACAAATATTAATTTTCACAAAGTCTATTTCCTCAGTTTTTATGATGGCAATTTGCATATACTCCAGAATGTTATGAAGAGTGATCAGATGAATTGCAATTAATTGCAAAGTCCCTCTTTGCCATGAAAATGAACTTCATCCCAAAAATACATTTCCACTGCATTTCAGCCCTGCCACAAAAGGACCAGCTGACATCATGTCAGTGATTCTCTCGTTAACACAGGTGAGAGTGTTGACGAGGACAAGGCTGGAGATCACTCTGTCATGCTGATTAAGTTAGAATAACAGACTGGAAGCTTTAAAAGGAGGGTGGTGCTTGAAATCATTGTTCTTCCTCTGTTAACCATGCAAGGAAACCATGCCATCATCATTGCTTTGCACAAAAAGGGCTTCACAAGCAAGGATATTGCTGCTAGTAAGATTGCACCTAAATCAACCATTTATCGGATCATCAAGAACTTCAAGGAGAGAGGTTCAATTGTTGTGAAGAAGGCTTCAGGGTGCCCAAGAAAGTCCAGCAAGCGCCAGGACCGTCTCCTAAAGTTGATTCAGCTGCGGGATCGGGGCACCACCAGTGCAGAGCTTGCTCAGGAATGGCAGCAGGCAGGTGTGAGTGCATCTGCACGCACAGTGAGGCAAAGACTTTTGGAGGATGGCCTGGTGTCAAGAAGGGCAGCGAGGAAGCCACTTCTCTCCAGGAAAAACATCAGGGACAGACTGATATTGTGCAAACGGTACAGGGACTGGACTGCTGAGGACTGGGGTAAAGTCATTTTCTCTGAATCCCCTTTCTGATTGTTTGGGGCATCCGGAAAAAAGCTTGTCCGGAAAAGACAAGGTGAGCGCTACCATCAGTCCTGTGTCATGCCAACAGTAAAGCATCCTGAGACCATTCGTGTGTGGGGTTGCTTCTTAGCCAAGGGAGTGGGCTCACTCACAATTTTGCCTAAGAACACAGCCATGAATAAAGAATGGTACCAACACATCCTCCGAGAGTAACTTCTCCCAAACATCCAAGAACAGTTTGATGACGAACAATGCCTTTTCCAGCATGATGGAGCACCTTGCCATAAGGCAAAAGTTTTGGGTCCATGGCCAGGAAACTCCCCAGACCTTAATCCCATTGAGAACTTGTGGTCAATCCTCAAGAGGCGGGTGGACAAACAAAACCCCACAAATTCTGACAAACTCCAAGCATTGATTATGCAAGAATGGGCTGCCATCAGTCAGGATGTGGCCCAGAAGTTAATTGACAGCATGTCAGGGCGGATTGCAGAGGTCTTGAAAAAGAAGGGTCAACACTGCAAATATTGACTCTTTGCGTAAACTTAATGTAATTGTCAATAAAAGCCTTTGACACTTATGGAATGCTTGTAATTATCCTTCAGTATACCAGAGTAACATCTGACAAAAATATCTAAAAACACTGAAGCAGCAAACTTTGTGAAGACCAATACTTGTGTCATTCTAAACTTTTGACCACGACTGGACCATCCTGATCCATCGCATGTAGGGTATGATGTATTACTAACTCTGTGGTGTGTGTGTGTGTGTGTGTGTGTATCTGTCCCTTGGTATCTTCTCATTGATAAAGCTATGGAAGCAAGAGGCTAGCAGACACAATGAAAGGGGAGGGGTTTGTTGTTAGAACCACCAAATGCAGGGAATGGAGTGAAAAACAAACCATTTAATTTAAAGGTAAGCATTGAGCGCTTCACTTTAAGGTCACTTGTTTGTTTTGGTCAGTGCTCAGAAGGGGAGGAGGTGGCGCACAGCAGAGTCTGGGCTTCAGGCAGACCACCACCACGGCCCCATCCAGCAGCCTGGGCACTGAGGAGACCACTGAGGATACCATGACGGACGCCTACTCCCTGTCACCCACCAACACAAGCAATACCTACTCCATAGAGATCCACACAGACGCCATGGCGCCGCCGGCCTGGGGAACTACACCCTGGACTACATCCAGTGCTTCACGTCTGTGAGTGTTGCCCGCCTGAGAAGGGCCCTATGGGGCCCCAGGGGAAGAGTGGCCCCCCAGGGCTGGGAGGAGAGTGGGGACTTCCAGGTAGACTAAAGAATATAAATAGTGTTGATTTCAGTATAGATTGACTAAAAGTATACATAGTACTGTAGTGGATAGTGACCATGACTGTAGGTTGTGTGCGGTGTGCTTGCAGTTATATTGTGTGTCTTCATGGTGTGTACTCCTAAATATCTCCTCATATCCCCAACCCTCCTACCTTCGCTCTTCCCCTCCTTCCCCCTGTCTTCTTTGTGTGTACCTGGAGATAAGGGGGGTGTTGGACTCATGGGGAACTCCTGGACTGGATGGAATGGCTGAAGTGACTGGACTGGAAGGAGATAAAGGGAAGCTAGCCAATTCTCAAATACAACTGTTAAAGAATGTAATCTGGGTTTTTATATTTACAGTCCAAAGTGTGAGCTGCTATGCTATCTGTTATCTCATTCCTGAATACGTTGTTATCTGTTGCTGTTTTTCATCAAATCGCTAACTTTGATCTAAAATAGAGTATTCATGCTGGGGACTGATATCTATCCTCATGTGGTGACACATTTCAGATTCCAATTTCTTATGATAGGTGACAAAGAAGATCAAGGAAACATGGGGATGTTGGTGCCCTGGGGCTACTTGGGAGACAAGGAGAGAAAGGTATACAATACTCCCTAGATTTCATCAGAGTAATGTGTAGTAACACTTGCATCATGGAGTAACACCACATGGAGTAACAATACAGAGTAACATGAGGAAATGCTAGTGCTAGAAGATCACACTATATTAGAGGAGAATAGTAGTGTTCTTAAACTGAATGTAAACTGTTGTTTCACTATCAAATACTTTCTTGCTACAGTAAGTGACTAAGTTCCTTCTCACAGGTGACTTGGACCCCAAAGGATAGAAAGGAGAACAGGCCTCCCTGGCTTGAAAGGAGACCCTGGAGAAAGGGGAGAGCTTGGGCAGAATGGGACCCAGGGTAAGAAAGGTGACCCGGGTAGAATAAGCCCTGCAGGACCCTCTGGGCTGCCTGTCCCGTAGAGACAGAATGGCCAAAAGGGAGACAAAGGGGTGGTGGGCTTAACTGGCTCCCCTGGCCCTGATGTGGGAGGTGGGCCTCCTGAGAGTAAATGGAACTGATGGTCTATCTGGGCCTAAAGGTGACAGGGGTGAGCCAGGCTCCCAGGGAGAGAGAGGGGAGGCAAGGGGGTGGGGGCCTCTGGAACCCCCAGGCTTGAGGGGCATGCCTGGACCGAATGGAGAGAAAGGACCCTGAGAGCGTGGAACATATATGCTCTGGCTTCAGCGTGGGCCTCTTCCCCAGCAAGTCCCTTCCCCCTCCGGGCCTGCCTGTCAAGTTCAACAAGATCCTCTACAATGAGGAGGAACACTAGGACCCGATGCTCACCAAGTTCACACGGAGGTCTACGTGATTTCCTACCACATCACCCTGTGCAACCGGCCCCTGCTCGCCACACTAGTGATTAACGGTTTGAAGAAGCTGCAGACTCGTGACTCCCTGTATGGCCAGGACATCGACTAGGTGTCCAATCTGTGCAGGGGACCAGGTGTGGCTGGAGATGCTGAGGGACTGGAACAGAGTTTACTCCAGCAGCAAGGACTACAGCACCTTCATCGGCTTCCTGCTCTATGCCGACCCCAAGGCCTGACCTACGACCTTGCCTATGAACCGGGCGTGACCTCTGCATGACCTTTATCTGATAACTTATGACTCTGCATCGCCTCCAAACTCTTTTCACTACACTGATAAATCATCTCTGTCAATATAGCTACTGCTACTAACTACGTTCCTGCTTATTGCTATCAAAATAATTTGACCAAATGCTTGCTGTATTTGGATGGTGAAGGATGTAACACTTTATGCAATGTTTACACTTTCTATCAATGCAATAAAACACTGACAATCAGGCCTCCATTGATTTTGTTATAATGTTTGAGCATAAGAACACCAGCCATGTCAAAATGCGTAGAATTGTAGGAAATTAGCTTAAAAACAGAAAAAAAGTATCCATGGCAAAATGCATAGAATTGCAGGGAATTGGCTTTAAAATTGCAAAATGTACTTTCAGCTCCATGGTAGGATGTGTGGAATTGCAGGAGATTAGCTTTGAAACTGCTACATTTTCTGTCTGATGCCAAGATAATATTTGTGAGTTATTCTTTGGTCTGTGTTTGTACCGTTTATGGTGGGTCGCGGCTCAAAAGACACCTCAATCGGTGGGTCACGAAGCAGAAAAGTTGGTGAACCCCTGCTTTATGCAACGCTTACACTTTCTATCAATGCAATAAAACACTGCTAATACTTTCAATGAACATTTCTTGAATTTTTTTAGTTTAGATGTGAAGCTATCTAGACTTCACTATGACTGATGTTAGTTTTGTAAACTGCTCAATCCCAGCTCTGATTATGGACAGTCTCACCCATTACTAGTTTAATGTGCTCCTAACAGTAAAAAGCCTTAATCATTTCTGTGCCATAACAATATAGCTCCAAGGTCTGTGGGTGATGGTGAGTGATGTATGAATGCATTATGTTTTATAGCCTACTAATGTACTAGTCTACGTCACCACCAAAAATACACTGCTCAAAAAAATAAAGGGAACACTTAAACAACACAATATAACTCCAAGTCAATCACACTTCTGTGAAATCAAACTGTCCACTTAGGAAGCAACACTGATTGACAATAAATTTCACATGCTGTTGTGCAAATGGGTTAGACAACAGGTGGAAATTATAGGCAATTAGCAAGACACCCCCAATAAAGGACTGGTTTTGCAGGTGGTGACCACAGACCACTTCTCAGTTCCTATGCTTCCTGGCTGATGTTTTGGTCACTTTTGAATGCTGGCGGTGCTTTCACTCTAGTGGTAGCATGAGACGGAGTCTACAATTCACACAAGTGGCTCAGGTAGTGCAGCTCATCCAGGATGGCACATCAATGCGAGCTGTGGCAAGAAGGTTTGCTGTGTCTGTCAGCGTATTGTCCAGAGCATGGAGGCGCTACCAGGAGACAGGCCAGTACATCAGGAGACGTGGAGGAGGCCGTAGGAGGGCAACAACCCAGCAGCAGGACTGCTACCTCCGCCTTTGTGCAAGGAGGAGCAGGAGGAGCACTGCGAGAGCCCTGCAAAATGACCTCCAGCAGGCCACAAATGTGCATGTGTCTGCTCAAACAGTCAGAAACAGACTCCATGAGGGTGGTATGAGGGCCCGACATCCACAGGTGGGGGTTGTGCTTACAGCCCAACAACGTGCAGGACGTTTGGCATTTGCCTGAGAACACCAAGATAGGCAAATTCGCCACTGGCGCCCTGTGCTCTTCACAGATAAAAAGCAGGTTCACACTGAGCACATGTGACAGACGTGACAGAGTCTGGAGACGCCGTGGAGAACGTTCTGCTGCCTGCAACATCCTCCAGCATGACCGGTTTGGCGGTGAGTCAGTCATGGTGTGGGGTGGCATTTCTTTGGGGGGCCGCACAGCCCTCCATGTGCTCGCCAGAGGTAGCCTGACTGCCATTAGGTACCGAGATGAGATCCTCAAACCCCTTGTGAGACCATATGCTGGTGCGGTTGGCCCTGGGTTCCTCCTAATGCAAGACAATGCTAGACCTCATGTGGCTGGAGTGTGTCAGCAGTTCCTGCAAGAGGAAGGCATTGATGCTATGGACTGGCCCGCCCGTTCCCCAGACCTGAATCCAATTGAGCACATCTGGGACATCATGTCTCGCTCCATCCACCAACGCCACGTTGCACCACAGACTGTCCAGGAGTTGGTGGATGCTTTAGTCCAGGTCTGGGAGGAGATCCCTCAGGAGAACATCCGCCACCTCATCAGGAGGATGCCCAGGCGTTGTAGGGAGGTCATACAGGCACATGGAGGCCACACACACTACTGAGCCTCATTTTGACTTGTTTTAAGGACATTACATCAAAGTTGGATCAGCCTGTAGTGTGGTTTTCCACTTTTTAATTTTGAGGGTAACTCCAAATCCAGACCTCCATGGGTTAATAAATTTGATTTCCATTGATAATTTTTGTGTGATTTTGTTGTCAGCACATTCAACTATGTAAAGAAAAAATTTAATAAGATTATTTCATTCAGATCTAGGATGTGTTATTTTAGTGTTCCCTTTATTTTTTTGAGCAGTGTACATCTGACTGAAACCTGCATGTTATTTCCCCCACTAGAGGGCACTCTGACATCACAGTTTGAAGAGGAGGGCTGAATGAGAATTGTATTCATTTTACAGTATCATGTCAAATTCGTTTTTAAATACACTAAAATAATGTGGATATTCATACAAACGTAGAGGGGAAATATCAGCACAAACACACCTGCTATACCTATTTGTGTTACACCATCCAATCACAGATAGACAACTAGAAATAAAATAAAGCAGGTTGATACTCCATTTATACTATCACAATTCCCCCATGGCCGTGACCACCATGCTTCATCCCTGTGACCCATGATGCTGCCTCCCACCGCTCAAGCCATTGTTTGATGCTACCAAGAGGAACGGCTTCAGCTCCCATCCTGACTTCCTTATTTACTGTTTTTGTTTCCTTGTTTAATGACTTGTATGTGCTTCATACGTAATTCAGCTTTTAGCTGCCATGTACCACTGCCTACATGTAAATGTAACAAAATTACTACTACTACAAAGTATGTGATATTCAACAGGTAGAAAACCTGATGTCACAAAGCAGCATTGTGATGTCACTGGCCCTCTTTTAGAAGCATAAATCTCCATGGAAACTACATTTAATTTAATTTCAGTCATTAATCACCCTGGTGTGGTTGGGAGGGGATGCTGGACTGTTCTGGTGTGGCCAGCGAAAAGTGTCCAAATTGTCAGTAGAAAGGTGCAGCAAGCATAATTTGGCTACAAGAGGTGTTTGTCTGCAGTTATCTTGGTCAAAAGGCTGTGCAACCAAGTACTAGCTCTGGGGTGCCAATAATTTTGTCGATGCCATTTGTCTTTATTTTCTAAATTACAATTGTAAACTTAAGTTTACAAAAATAAAATTGGTTCTGCAATGTTGAAGATCCAATAAGGTGTGGTGACAGGTCCCCTGTAGCTCAGTTGGTAGAGCATGGCGCTTGCAAAGCCAGGGTTGTGGGTTCGTTTCCCACGGGGGGCCAGTATGAAAAATGTATGCACTCACTAACTGTAAGTCGCTCTGGATAAGAGCGTCTGCTAAATGACTAAAATGTAAATGTCAATTTAGCAGACGCGCTTATCCAGAGCGACTTACAGTAAGTGAGTGCATACATTTTATTTTTTTTCATTCCTTTGGAATCGAACCCACAACCCTGGCGTTGCAAGCGCCATGCTCTACCAACTGAGCTACAGGGAACTACAAGTTCTACAACATTCTAGAATACTGTAACAATCACAGTGGCAGACAGGAACAGTTGATTTTTACCAGTTGTCTCTACTGTGAGACCTTTGAGAAGTAACGTTATGTTTACATAAAGATTGTCCCATCTCCACTTCATAGAGATGAAAGGTCAGATGGATGGGGCGAATCCTGCCCCTGAAGAGCCCCAAGAGGGGGAGCAGGCTCATGACAAGCATCCTATAAGAGACCTCCATGAGGATACCAGTGAATCACCATCTCCTCCAATACCATCTTGCCAAGATGATCAGTTGGACAACCAATATAACACCCAGTCAGTCAGCCAACTACACCTCCAAAAAGGTGACATGTCAAATCACCAGCAAGATATGCACGTTATGAATGATCTAAAGCAAGTTGAAATGCAGAATGATCATCAAGACGCACCAGGATGTTCACCAAGATACCATGTCAAATTACCAGCAAAACATGCATCAAGACCAACAGCAAGATTTAAGACCTTCCTCTCCAATACTGATGGCCTTGTCACAGCATGGCTTAGAAGTCTGTAGACATTCTTCACTTCCCTTACAGACACCATCATCACAGGGTGAACTAGAAGACCCAAGTGCTTCCTCACCTCCTACTCTGGTTCCCATCTTCAGGGATCACTATGTAGAACTAAGTGATTCATCCAGTGTCAACAACTCATCTTGGTCAGCGAGTCAGGGGGAATATAGCCCCACTTCTACCAAAGATTGAGGGTGGTATTAGCGAAGACTACACAACCGATTCAGTAATGACTAAGAACGAAAGAGATCTCAGTGATTTGGACTTCTCGACATCTGAGAGTGAGGTGGACATATTCGACGCTGCCACCCAAACTGTCAGCAGAGATGCTCTTCCACTGGCTTCTGATGGCTGCCTCGACCAGGGACCAAGATCCCTCCTGGAAGCGGTATTGGCCACCCCCTCTTCTGGAGACCCTCAGCCTGGAGGAGTCCCAGCCTGGCTGTGAGGCTCTGGAGGACGGGGACGGTGTCCTTCGCTTCTGTGGGAGCACCAAGACCCTAAATCTGGATCCCAGTCTTTCTGTGGATGACGCCCCACCAATGCCTTCAAGCACTGCCGCTGACTCACCCCAGGATGGGACAGCTCTACCTGGGCAAGCAGGGAGCAGAAGTAGCCCCCGGCGTGGTGTAAGTGCAGGTAAATGCACCATCAGGCGCTGCCGAAGCTCCTCAAGCCGCCGAAGCCACTCACGTCGCCGCACCTCCCCACAAGGGAGAGGGAGAAAGAAAAAGAGGGGAAGGCGGACATCCGGCAAGAGACGAAGCCAGAAGAGATCCTCTCAGAACTCTGGGCCGAGCACAGAGCAGGGAGGCGAAGCGAGCGCCAAGCAGGGGAACGGACAGGGCTCTGAGGAGACTGACACTCCTCCTCAAAACAAGAGGAGGAAGTCGTCATCAGAGGGAAAAAAGAAAAGGAAACGGTTATCAGGTGTGGCCTATGACCTTTCAAGACCTCCATGATGTCATCTCCTTGGAGTTGGATGGAGGGTGAGCAGGCTATTATTAGATTAACTATTTAAAAATATATGGAAAAAAGCCAAACATAAATGTGTGGAATAAAAACTCAGCAGCATGTTGTTTTATCTCATTCAGAATAACTTAATTTCAATTTAAAGGATTTTTGTTTCCGAATATTTAAGGTGGTGTATGATATAAATGATATACTCTTTTACAATGGTGGACTTACATGCATGTACATTTGAAGTCGGAAGTTTAGATACACTTAGGTTGGAGTCATTAAAACTAGTTTTTCAACCACTCCACAAATTTCTTGTTAACAACCTGTAGTTTTGGCAAGTCGGTTATGACATCTACTTTGTGCATGACACAAGTAATTTTTCCAATAATTGTTTACAGACAGATTATTTCACTTATAATTCACAATTCCAGTGGGTCAGAAGTTTACATACACTAAGTTGACTGTGCCTTTTAACAGCTTGGAAAATTCCAGAAAATGATGTCATAGCTTTAGAAGCTTCTGATAGGCTAATTTACATCATGTGAGTCAATTGGAGGTGTACCTGTGGATGTATTTCAAGGCCTACCTTCAAACTCAGTCCCTCTTTGCTTGACATCATGGGCAAATCAGTCAAGACCTCAGAAAAAAAAAATTTAGACCTCCAAAAGTCTGGTTCATCCTTGGGAGCAATTTCCAAACGCCTGAAGGTACCACTTTAATCTGTACAAACAACAGTACAATAGGTCAGGAAGGAGACGCGTTCTGTCTCTTAGAGATGAACGTACTTTGGTGCGAAAAGTGTAAATCAATCCCAGAACAACAGCAAAGGACCTTGTGAAGATGCTGGAGGAAACAGGAACAAAGGTATCTATATCCACAGTAAAACAAGTCCTATATCAACATAACCTGAAAGGCCACTCAGAAAGGAAGAAGCCACTGCTCCAAAACCACCTTAAAAAAGCCAGACTACGGTTTGCAACTGCACATGGGGACAAAGATCGTACTTTTTGGAGAAATGTCCTCTGGTCCGATGAAACAAAAATAGAACTGTTTGGCTATAATGATCATCGTTATGTTTGGAGGAAAAAGGGGGTGCTTGCAAGCCGAAGAACATCATCCCAACCCTGAAGCACGGGGGTGGCAGCATCATGCTGTGGGGGTGCTTTGCTGCAGGAGGGACTGGTGCACTTCAAAATAGATGGTATCATGAGGAAGGAAAATTGTGTGGATATATTGAAGCAACATCTCAAGACATCAGCCAGGAAGTTAAAGTTTGGTCGCAAATGGGTCTTCCAAATGGACAATGACCCCAAGCATACTTCCAAAGTTGTGGCAAAATGGCTTAAGGACAACAAAGTCAAGGTATTGGAGTGGCCATCACAAAGCCCTGTCCTCAATCCTATAAAAAATTTGTGGGCAGAACTGAAAAAGCGTGTGTGAGCAAGGAGGCCTACAAACCTGACTCAGTTACACCAGCTCTGTCAGGAGGAATGGGCCAAAATTCACCCAATTTTTTTTTTTTTTTGCGGACGGCGCAGAAGTTGCAAAATGAGGCTTTAGAGAGGCAGAAGGTTGCTGATTCAATCCCCGGTCAGGGTGTAAAAACAGAACTGTGGGAACTAGAGGGCTGTTGGTCTATGATTCCAGGTACCACCTCCTGCCGTTGTGCCCTTGCGCAAGGGACTTAAACCCTAAAACTGCTCTCCATCCAGGGGCGCTGTTCTGTGGCTTATCAACTTAGCTGATAAATGATTTGTGCAGCACCTATGAAATGTGATGAAGTAGATCATGAGGCCAAACAACTAAGAATATTCAGTTAAGTAATGAACATTTAGAAGGTTATGGTAGTGTCATCCTCACATTGCTCCTATAAATATATTTAGCATTTCATTATATTTTGTATTTCATAAAATCTTTATATTCTGGCTTAGTTTTTTAATGTAATAAAAACTGACAAACTATTCAGTGATACTTTATTTGTCCTAATGTAATCCTAATTTTAAACGATGGCAAATTGTTCCCTCTTATCAAATCAGGGCTTTGGAACAAAATGTCCTGCATCATCAGCCCAGCATTGTAGATGCTGTTGTTTTTTATCCTCTTGAAAATGCACTCAGTAAATGTACTGGAATGATAATGTCTTAAAGTAAGGTTGACACTAAGGAACAAAGTTCATTGGGATCAACATGTAAACCTTGAAATGGGTGATTGACTGGAAAAACAACAGTCACTGGAGGATGAGATAAATACTGTAAGTTAGACCAGTGTTAACAATCTGTGGCAAATACTTTCTGTTTCAAAACTTTCCAGAACTATGTAAACAGTTCCATGATACAAGCCTGTTAATCAGAGAACAAGAGAGCAACTCATTATATACGAAATAGAAAATAGTACTTATTAATGCAGTCAATGAAAACTTGATGTTTATCTGTGTCAATTCTATATGTCAAACAGTTGTAAGTATCTGATCGTTTGATCCAAGAAAATAGGTTGATCTGCTTTCTCTGGCAATTGTTCAAAAGATTCAGCAATTGTACAATGGCGATGATGCATTATTACCGACTGGGCACAGACGTCATTTCAAGGTCTAGTTTTGATTTACATTTGGTTGAGTTGTCAACTAACAGTGAATTCAACCAGAAATCAACCACAAATGTCTCCATGTCATTGGATTTAGCGTAAACCTTCGGTTAATTTTTTTGTTGCAAATCCAGTCACTTTTCGACTTTGAGTCAAAGTCATATGTCCCTGCATATTTCTGTAGTAAGGCCTAGGAGAAGTTAGACATGGGGATTTACAAGAAGTCACATGATTTTCAGGAAATTGTAGGCAGAAAGTGAAACTGATACGATGCCAAATAAATGGTAACTGGGACAGTTTTTACTTCACTGTGCTTGTTGAGACAAAGACCTTCACATGGTACATACTTTTCCTCTGAGGTATTATTTGACCCAGGTAGATTATTCTCATCGTGTTATTGGTACATGTTGCATTCAGAATGACAGCACACAATGACCCAAATGGGTGTAAACAAACCCCAACTTCACTTTCCTTACCATTTTGTATTTTGAGTAAATTAAGTATTCAAGGTGTTGTCTTTAATTAACTACACTGCACCCTGTTCATGATAGGGATCAATTAAAGAAAACCATCTAAATAGACACATATTCATCTCCTTTTCAGCACCAATTGGTATATTTAAATATTCTCTGATCTTGTATATTATTTAGGGTTAGGAAAGTACACTACGTGGCCAAAAGTATGTGGACTCGACTATTTCAGCCACACCGTTGCTGACAGGTGTATAAAATCGAGCACAGCCATGCAATCTCCATAGACAAATATTGGCAGTATAATGGCCAGTACTCAAGAGCTCAGTGACTTTCAACGTGCCACCGTCATAGGATGCCTCCTTTCCAACAAGTCAGTTAGTCAAATTTCTGCCCTGCTAGAGCTGCCACGGTACAACACCAGCATAAAAAAAAAAGGGTGCAAGATAAGATAGATGGACTTTGTGACTTAAGTCTGACAAACCAGTTATATTAGTCATCACATCTACTGATTATGTTGCCTCATATTTGTGCACCAGTACTGCCTGTGCTGTTTACCCTTTCCACTTTCACTGTTCATTGGATATTATGTTCATAGTACGTCCATACTCAAGAGAACCAAGTTTTATCAAAACTGTGTGTGTGAGAGAGAGAGAGTTTGTCCTATTTTTACCATAATTTAGATATAAAGTAAAGTACAAGACATGCTTCCTGTTGACGGTCTTGAACTCATACATCCAATAAAAACAATAAAAGGAGAGACATCGCCACCTGTTGGTAGAGAATGAGAAAAAGCTTCTGTCCACCATTTCTGTTTGTTTCTCTTTGTGTTTATGTGTGGTGTTTCTGAGTGCATACATGCTTAAGTTGTGTGTGTGTGTGTGTCCGTGTGTGTCTATGTGCCCATGTGCCCGATTTGGTTGGGGGGCTCCCCACCTCGCAGTAAATGTAATTTCCTGCAATTTCACACATTTTGCCATGGGGCGTAGAGAAAATGTTGCAGTTTTAAAGCATTGTTTTTGCAATTCAACACATTTTGCCATGGAGCTGAGAGAAAAAATTTGCAGTTTTGCAGCAAGTTTGCTACAGTTCTACTCATTTTGCCATGGGGTGTAGAGAAAATGTTACAGTTTTAAAGGCTCAGTGCAGGCGAAAACGTGATTTTCCTTTGTTTTATGTACAGTGGGGGAAAAAAGTATTTAGTCAGCCACCAATTGTGCAAGTTCTCCCACTTAAAAAGATGAGAGAGGCCTGTAATTTTCATCACAGGTACACGTCAACTATGACAGACAAAATAAGAAATAAAAATCTTAGAAAATCACATTGTAGGATTTTTTATGAATTTATTTGCAAATTATGGTGGAAAATAAGTATTTGGTCAATAACAAAAGTTTCTCAATACTTTGTTATATACCCTTTGTTGGCAATGACACAGGTCAAACGTTTTCTGTAAGTCTTCACAAGGTTTTCACACACTGTTGCTGGTATTTTGGCACATTCCTCCATGCAGATCTCCTCTAGAGCAGTGATGTTTTGGGGCTGTCGCTGGGCAACACGGACTTTCAACTCCCTCCAAAGATTTTCTATGGGGTTGAGATCTGGAGACTGGCTAGGCCACTCCAGGATCTTGAAATGCTTCTTACGAAGCCACTCCTTCGTTGCCCGGGCGGTGTGTTTGGGATCATTGTCATGCTGAAAGACCCAGCCACGTTTCATCTTCAATGCCCTTGCTGATGGAAGGAGGTTTTCACTCAAAATCTCACGATACATGGCCCCATTCATTCTTTCCTTTACACGGATCAGTGGTCCTGGTCCCTTTGCAGAAAAACAGCCCCAAAGCATGATGTTTCCACCCCCATGCTTCACAGTAGGTATGGTGTTCTTTGGATGCAACTCAGCATTCTTTGTCCTCCAAACACGACGAGTTGAGTTTTTACCAAAAAGTTATATTT